TTGCAGTTGATTTGATTGTCCAACATATACGAACAAAGCTTGGCCAGCATGACCTTTGCAAAATCTACCCTAACGTGTATGTTATTCAGTCAACATTCCAGGCAAGTTGTTATTTAAGTATATATTGGATATTGGTATCTTCTTGCTTTCATTTTAAAGCAAGCTAGGATCTGAATATGTAAACTACATCACAAGTGTTTCGTGTTGTGCCTTTTACTCATCTCTACCTCTACTCTAGTGAGCTTACACAGTTTTATTCAATTCTTAATTGCACAAATACTGGATCTGGTCCAGACAGCTTTGGTGGGTTCTTTCATTTGGAAAAACCCTTGAAGTAATTAGTGGGTCTTTGCATCTGGGTACCATATACTATGTATTCTGTGTGACTTCTCGTCGTTTTGGCTCTGCATTTGTGAAGCCCGTTCTTCATCAATTACTGATCAGGGAGTAATCATATTAATTTTGGCCTCTTTGTTATTGGCATAAACACTAGAATCAGATTATGAGCTGCAAATACTGGAATTGATTATACAAACTAAAAAACTGTAAAAACTGGAGAAGATTAGCTGATTGGGAACACGTTGCATAGTATGAATACTAGATTTGAAGATATTGGTTTTTGATTTGTGGTATTAGAGTAGTTCAGTTCATTGGCATGCTTTGGTGTTATTCATTATAAGACGACATGGCCCATGGTTTCTGTTGATATTTTCCTTTTTAGAAATTCATATGCTAAACTTCGTTTCTGTTAGTTGATTATAGATATTGGAACATTCTTCACTATCCTGATATGGATGATGAGGCAACATGGCTTATGGTTTGTGTTAATATTAGCCTATTAAAAGTTAGTCGACCACTAAACTTCATTTCTTTTTGTTGATTATTGCTATCAGTGAATTCTCCTTATTTTGGTTTTGTTACAGATTAGAGGAATGCACACACTGATTCGTGATCGAGATATATCCAAGCATGACTTTGTTTTTTATTCAGATCGGCTTATTCGACTGGTGATTCTCAGCCATTATGAACCCCAAATTTTCTTTTCTGTTCGAGCAAATTGTAAGATTGGACCTTTACCGTAAATGATCTTTTAGGTTGTTGAGCATGGTCTCGGCCATTTACCATTCACCGAGAAGCAGGTAGTCACGCCAACAGGTTCGTTAAGTACAATATAAGACCAGTATGAAGGAATACTCTTAGCTTTGCTGTCTGCACTTGTTAATATAAAATTTCCTCTTTTAGTTAGTCTTCTATTAAGCATTCATGTAACGAGATGGTTTCAAGGCTGCAAAAGTGACCATTTGTGAAGTTTCATTACACTTTAACCAACCTTATGAGGAGAACATGTTTTGTAAGAATCCATGATAACTTCCCTCAAGCTCGGATAACATTGCTAGTTGAATTGAACTTTAGGGAATAATCAGGCTACATGTTTTATTGCCAAATCCTTTCCACCCCAGCTGCGAAGAAAACTGCTTTTAAGTCCAATTCATATGCCTATAGTCTTTTTTGGTCAGCAATGTTGTATTAATTTTCCTTCGATCAATCTGATGTCAATATCTTTTACTGTAGGCTCGGTATATACTGGTGTTGACTTTTGCAAGAAACTGTGTGGAGTTTCAATTGTTCGAAGGTGAGGGTCAAATTAAGAATTAGTGATGATTGATTTAGACTTTATGCAAGCAGCAGTTTGCTTGTGCTGCTAAGTTCTGTGTGCTTCCAGATTACTTTCACCTTCATTTCCAAAAGCCAACTTGGGTTATTGTTGAGGATTCATCAAAATTCTCTAGTCTTTTCTGTATCTTCATTTTAGGAATGTTTGGGAGACTAGAACCAAAGATGATCACATAATATGCTGTTGCTGGTTCAGTCTTATGGAATTGTGCATATTACCTAGCATCATGTTGATTTCCTCTACAAATTCGAAGTTGATGTTCTTTGTTGCACAACTATGTGATTATTATATGCAGTGGTGAAAGTATGGAGAATGCATTGCGTGCCTGTTGCAAAGGAATTAAAATCGGGAAGATCCTGATCCATCGTGATGGTGACAACGGGAAGCAGGTTTTTTTTTTTTTTTTTAATCTTTTAGTTGCTGAATGCTGGTGGGTCTTTACTCATAGTTGCATTTACGATGTTGTTGATTACATGCATGATATTTCTTTTGTCTGATCAGCTTATTTATGAGAAACTCCCAAAAGATATTTCTGAACGTCATGTTCTGCTCCTGGACCCAGTTCTTGCTACAGGTAACTATACTTTAGAGGCTTTTTTTAAAATTTTTTTTATTAAATTAAAGCATCAATGGTAAGAGTAATTTGCTGAAATAAACTTGTGAAAGAGTTGCTTTCTGTGGAGACAGAATTGTCTTGTTTATGTGGATTAGTTTGCTTACCTTTTAGATTTTGGCTGAGCTTTATTTTTCCTTGAAGGTAACTCTGCTAATCAGGCAATCGACCTCCTCATACAAAAAGGAGTTCCTGAATCTCACATTATTTTCCTAAACCTCATTTCTGTAAGTTGCTTCATTAATGGTTTCAATGATGAAAGTTTCTTATTCTTGGGCACAAATGAAGATGATGATATGCTTTGTTTATGAACTTTTCTGGTTTTCCACACAGGCGCCAGAGGGAATACATTGTGTTAGTAAACGTTTCCCATCCCTGAAGATTGTCACATCAGAGATTGATGTGGCACTTAATGAAGAATTTCGTGTCATACCCGGTATGGGAGAGTTTGGCGATCGGTACTTTGGAACAGATGACTGATGATCAAATTTAATAGTGCAAGCATTATTGTAAGCTTTTGCTAGGCATACCTGCTTCTCAACTAGAAATGAGTGTCCCTTTGGGCTACTTGTTATGTATTTTTGAAATCAAATGCGTTTACTTGAATGTTGTGGAGAAATTCTTCAGGTGAAGCTTAGATTGTGATTAGTATCCGTATGGCAAGAAACCACCTTTACATCTAAACTAGAAATGCCAAATGGCAAACGTGCGTCCATTGAACTGTAAAATTTCTTTCGATTTTCGGTCCAGACGATTCATGCTCTTGACAAACTCTTGACAATTGTTGCTTTCCACAAAACCAGTTTCTGCTTTCCTACCTAGATTAGATTGGAAGAGCAGGGCCGTAACTCTATCCTACTCTACGGCATACGTGTGAGCAGGTAGTGCCGTTGGTGGAGCAGACAGCTGCCTGCGGGTGTCAAGAATCTGTCGCTGGCGTACCTATTTACCGTAATAGAATCTTGCCTTCTGGTTGATGACTTTGCAAGAACTTTGTAAGCTAAATGCCATATCAAATGTGACGTAGTGTGTATTATAAGGTATGGATCGTGCTATAGGCCAATATAATCGTAGGTGAATTTTGAAGTAGCACTTCAAAGTAGATCAAAGTATCAATTTAACTCTTGAAAGTGAACAAATTCTTGTTAAACCCTTTAAACTGGAAATCCCGTCCCACGAGCCATTCTTGGTCAATAATGTTGACCAAACTTTAGTGATATACTGAGAACCTTATAAATTTTAGGGATTTAATGCAATTAACCTCTCACCTAGATTAGCTTAAAAGAACAAAATAATTAGGGGTGACAATTTTTGGCACGACACGACAATATGGCTCGAATACGATTCGAAATCAATAGGGTTTTAATACGATTGGAACTCATTATTGATTTAACTTGTTAGTGACATGAAAGTAAGCGAGTTGGGTTAGGTCAATCCACATGTTCACATGCTAATCCAATAAAGTACTTATTTTAAGATAATAATTCAACACTAACAACGATCAAATTTGGTTTAAAGATTTCAATTAGAAGTTTTAAAAAACTCACAAGTTTTATGTCCTATCATATATTGAATTGTCTAAGCGTATTTCTAAAAGGTTGATTGGATTGTATTTTCTAGAGAGTTTTTGGAGAGAAATTACTTTAACACTTTTTAAGATGTGACATATATAAGATAAAAGGTGATTAAAAAATGTGTGGAAGGAATCTTCACAGAAAATCCAGAAACTTTTCAAAAAAAATAGCAAGTCAAATAAGACTGAATTTGTAACTTATATTATGATTGAAAAGTTTCACTATCTATTATTTTTTTGAATGTTTTGAAAACTTTAAATCTTGTGTTGAGTATGTATTTCAAACAATTTATTGTGTGTTTTAACAATAGCAATATTGAATAAATTACATGACCAAATGGATTAAAATAAGCGATTAAAATACTAGATTGTTTCTAGCATAGATTAGTAGGTTGATTTGGCAAGATAATGCATTGTATCAAACCTATTTTAATTATATAAAGTGTTAACGGGTTATGCGGATTGGGTTGGGTCAACTCGTTAACATACGGGGTTAAGGCACGATATGAAAGTTTAATGGGTTGGATTAGAAATGATGTTTTTTTGACATGAACACCATAATGACAAGATAATTATACAACATGACACATTGCCATCCTTAAAAAATAATATGCTATCCTAATCAAATTTTGAAAATTAAAAAAGTAGCAAAACTTTTTTTTTTAAGACTAAGTGAGTAAAGTTATATAATTTTCAACTCATTTAGATAAGAAATTAATGTTTTAAAGTCCCTAAATAATTAATAGGATTTTACTTTTACCACTAAAGTTTAGTCGAAACTTAAACATTAACAATTAAGTATGAACTGATACGAAATACGATTCGGAACAAAATTTTCACTTTTGAGGCCTTAATCGGGTCTTATTCACTTTTAGGGACTGAATTGATACATTGGTCTACTTTGAAGGGCTAAATTAAATTTCACCCGCTCAATTTTAGATTGTGATTATTTCGGAAGAAAAAACTGGAAAGAGATATAATAAAAAGTAAACAAAAATAAAAACTAAATCGAGCTTTATCCATTCCCGCCACCAAAACCAACCCGGGCACCGTCCAGTCCAGCATCAACTGCATTCTTACCCCATACGCCCTTCGGATTCCTCTCCTCTCCCGCCACCCATCGCTCAGACAAGAGACGCCCGAATGGCCTCCACTTTCCTCTCAGTACCACTGCACCCGTCATCATCCTTCCCTCTAATCACTTGTCGAACCACCACCACGAATTTCGCTTCCCGCACTCCACGAGAACCACCGCCACTGACGTCTGTCTGCCAAAATCCTAATCCTGGCTTTACCGCACCGTCCTCCTTAACTTGCTCCCTCCAATGCCCTCACTTCCAGTCGTACGTTTCCCCGACTCATAACTCTTTCAACTCTTATTTAAAAAAAAATAAATAAATCATTGTGAGCAGGGCGCTAATTTTGATTTCATTGGCTTTCAGGTGTTCGGGTTGTACACACGAGTACAATCTCCACCACCCTGCAATAGTTGACGAGGCCACCGACTTTTTCAAGACTCTCGGCGTTTCCGACTTCACCTTTGATAGCTGTAGACTGGTAAATACTTCATTTCTATCACTTTACTGCCTAGCTGCTGGTCTTAAAAATTTTCACCAAAAGCAATAATCGATATCTCAATGATTTTACAGTGGGGATGGAGATGCCGCGCAAAACTTGCTGTTCGGGGTTCATCAACCGAGCCTTTAATTGGGCTTTATCAAGAGGGCACTCACAATATTGCTGATATTCCCGAGTGTAAAGGTGTGGATCTTTTGTAATTCTAAGTTCGTTGAATTTTCATATTTTCAACTAAATTGTTTATAACTAGGTACTTCTTGCATTTGCAGCTCATCATCCGCGCATTAATGCCGCTGTGGAGCTCCTGAAACAAGGTCTGTCATCCATCCTATTAATTGTATTTTAAAGCAACACTTATTTTTCCTTTTTCTTGGTTGAATCGCCTCCAGGCTAATGGCCAGAATTTCATCTCTAATGTGTGCTCTCTCTCTTTCTCCTGCATGTTTTCTTTATGTACTTTTGGCAGGCATATCTGATTTGTGTATTGAGCCATATGACGAAGATCAGGGAACTGGCGAACTGAGATATGTGCAGGTGATTAATTTTGTTAATAAATGACAGCAGAAGTTAGTTATAGTCCGGATTATCTATATATGTAATGAATCCCCTTGGACTTTGCAGATGGCTGTGACTACGTATGACACATCTCTTCCTGTCTCACAAAGATATCAAAATGGTTTGTAGCTGATATTTCACTATCCCATTGTTTCCTGTAGTGTGAATATTTGGATTTGTGATTTGTTAGAAAAGGTCTATTCAGATCTTTAAATATTACTATGAATTTTTCTGTTATTTCAGGTAAAGTGCAGGTTGCTTTGGTTTGGAATTCTAGAAATGAAAACTCACCTAGTTCAGAAAAATTGAATGCTCTAGCAAATGTAGGATTCTCAATATTCATTTGTCAATATAATTTTGGATGTAATCTTCTTCATACGCATGACTTTAGGGATTGTATGTGTGTGCAGTACCTGTGGAGAAATGGTGGCAGAAGGACGAAAATCAATCTAATTCATTCTGTGTGGGCTAACTTTCAAACATCAACTAATAATGTGAGCACAGCTCTCTCTGTCATTATCTCACTGTAGCATGTATGTGTTGGTAGTATTGTTACCTACAGACAACTATATATGTAGATATAGGTACATCCACTATGTATACTAGTAATTATGGGGCACACTCCACGAATGTGCTTGAGTATTTGGGGGTGGGGGTTGTTTAACAAAAATACCATAGAAACATCTGTAGTTTCCTTGAATGCAATGAATATATTATCTTGTTGAAAGGGTAATTTTGGGAACTCATAATGAATGACAATTACCACAACTTTCCTTTGCACTTAAGATACACATATTTTGTGCTTGTGTGCTTTTTGTAGCACTTGGAAATTTTGAAAATCCATAGCATTAAAATGGTTGATCTTGTTGTAAAAAGTCTCTGGCCGACTTCTTTCGAAGAATAATTTTCAAGTGATCTGTTTTTTGGATATTGGAGAGTGCATATTGTGATAATGTGTGAAAATGCCATTTGAAGCAGTCAACTAGAATAAATATAATTTGAACCTTATATTTTCATGGAATTTGGAATTGTGAAGTCTTTGAGTGAGTTAGATAGCTGTGAATCTCATCACAGAAAGGTGAACTTTTGGGGTCTGTGAAAGGGAAAATTAACATGACCTGGTTGTTCTCTTTCTTTATTATGGTTGGCAAAGTAATTGGACTCTATCTCATGAAAAACACCCTTTTATGTTCTATCTTCTTTTATATGCATCTCTTTTGCAGGTGCACTTGATCAATCTTTAGTGCACCTCAAGGAATGCTGCCAGCAAGTTGTGGAGGGTGGGGAATAGTCTGCAGGGTCCACTCCCTGCGGGACACCCTTAAAAAAAAAAAAAAAGGAATGCATGTGTTAATGTGAATGAGTATAAATTTTTTTATCTTATCTCTATGGTCTCTGAAATCAAAAACCACCATGCTGTATGAATTTAACCTTCACAATATCTTGTATTTATGTGTCTTCTTCTAGTTTGGGTAATTTCCATGGACTGCATATGAAATCTAAGTTAACTCTAGAATCTATATATGGAAAATAAAAACTTTACTGTGAATGTGGAATTTGGATTTTTCCATCCTGTGGAGACCTAGGGCTAAAATTTTTTGAAATTGAAAAAAGCTTTTTAGAGAGCAGGCTTTGGGTTGCTTCTGAGCACACTTACTTTTTTAAGCAAGAAAAAACGTGAACGTGTCTTTAGTTTTTTGGACAAAATTTACAAATTTAACTTAAATTTCTATATAAAAAGATATACTATAGATTTCATAAGCTTTTGACAGGCCCTTAAGGATGTTAGTGTCAAACTAGCCTTCAGCAGACCTTTGATATGTTCTTTGTGTTGATTTAGATCATATTTGGGAATAGATGGAGGCATTTGATTGGAGACGCAGAATTCTGGAACATGTTGGAGGAATCGATGTTTCTTTGGCTCCATCAAGCTTTGGTCAAGCAAATACCAAGGTAGAAATCTGAATAAAGTTTGTTGCTTTATTTAGCTTTGTTTTAAAAAAAATGGACATGCTTTTGGTTTGTTCTATCTAGGTATAGATATCATTGGTCTTGTTTCTTCTGAATCAACTTTTTCGTCGTGCAAAGGATGGTGGCAGGAACTGTCATTATCTTGTGTGTTCTCTTGATCGTCATTTGATATTGTGATGACTATTAATCAGTCCCTTACTTTATTACTGCCCTAGTGTTTCTCCCATCTGGATGGATAATCAAATAATTTTTCATTGTTTCCTCTGTAGTACGAGGATAGTTGGTTTATGCATTTGTTTATAGTTAACATATTTTTAAATTTTTGTCCAGGCATTTGATTCTTTGCTTCGGAAGTTACAGAAGTATGTCCCTCATGGCGCATCAGTGGTTGATCTTATGCAGGAGCCGGTGTTATCGATTATCTTTGGCTGCAATGAGGAAGTGTAGGTAAGAACCTGATAATGTAAAGAGCTATAAATTTTGGTGCTTGACAACTGAGCATTCATTCTAATACACTTTGAGTTTTTAACAGGTTAGTAAAATGTGTTGAGGTTAACAGAGAGTCAAAGATGTCCTTTGGAAAGACAGTTGAGCGTTTACCAGCCTCTCTGGATTGCAGCATCAGCTGGCATCAAGCAGACACATCAGTAGTAAGTGTCAATTTTTCCTTTTCTTCAAAATCACGCACAAGGAATTGGGATTTGTATATGGCAATGCATGTATCTTTATAAGTGTATTCTGTAGGTCTATACTTAGCCATCCATGCGGGCATGTGGTACAGTTGATACTAACGCAATGCATTTTAGCTGTGAATGTGCTTTTCGAAATTCCCTCCTTTTATACTTTTTTGGACAGCTGAAGATAAAGAATATCCAATCAACTAATGTGGGTGGTTGGGTGTATTCTCTGCAGCACTTTGTTGAGCTCTTACATTAAAAATTTGTTCAGGAACCTCTTTCTTGGCTTGTGGGATCAGAGGTGGTTGTAGTTGATCCTCCCAGGAAAGGGCTAGAACCATCTTTGGTTGATGCATTAAGGACTATGTCATCCGTGGAGCTTAAATCAAAGCTGCCTGAAAGGTAGAGTTAGAATGGAATATAAAATCCAGTTGTGAATTGCTCTTTTAAGTAGGATGTTTATATGCATTTTTTTTGGTCTAATCTCAGTCCATCCTTAGAGGCCAAAGGTGAAAAGAGGCCATGGGTTATTAGAGCAAGACAACCATCAGTGCAATTTAAACTCGGGCCTTTGCAAGAGGAAAGCCGCTCGCTGCCTCAAACTCTAATCTACGTAAGCTGTGGGTGGCAAAGTTTTAAAGAGGTAGATTGGCATTATGGGTTTTTCATGACTCCTAGGAGCTGTCACCTAATTAGACGAATTGAATCTTTGATTTTCAGAGAACCCCCCCCCTCCTCTCTCTCTCTCTCTCTCTCTCTGACGAGGAAAACTTTCTTCTGATTTTTTACCAAAGAATTGATCTTTTTACAGGATTGTGCATCACTTTTGTCTGGAGAGACATGGCATTTGGACAAAGCGCATGGCTTTAATTTCTTTCCTGGCACACAGAGGTACTGTTTATCTTTGTGTCTCCCATTTAAGTAGAAGATATGTTTAATCTTTTCATTGAAATTTTCCGTGCAAAGGGCTCTATGTTGTGTTTATAGAACTTCTTTGAGAATAAAGACCAAAATTTTTGTATATGTGCGACTTAGACAAGGGGAAAGAAGTTGAATTACTTTCTAGAAAATCCCAAGCATTGGATCTGGTGAGAGGCTAGCAGTGGGATGTCTTTGCATGGATGAAAGGAAGTTACATGGTGGTTGTTGGAAGCTATGGGTTCGTGATTATTCTGACCCATTATTTTTTTTTTGGCTGTTCCCTTGACCATACTGGCACTGCCTGCTTAAGATCAAATTAGTCTTTTTCAAATGATTATCGGTGGTGTCATTTGCCATTGATCAAATAGCTGAACGCGAATATGAATTCATTTAATACATGAGGGCTACAGTTCGTACTACTGTACATGGGGGCTCAGTCTTGTATCAGTTTTAGGTTGCCAACGAAGTACATGACGGCCAAATCTTGCCTTGCTGCTTTGTAACAGAGTTCATTATGCCGCAATAGGCTTCAAGTTAATGACTCTTTAACATAACTGTTCTACTTTGCTATATTACTTGCTTTGAAGGAGTTCACAGTGTGGCATATTATGTGGTCGGCTGATTGGTAAAACCTGAATGAAAAAAAATATACTTTAAACAAAAATATCTGCTTTATGTTACGTTCTTTTCTTAATAAGGGACAACACTCCAAAGCAACTGTTATCAACATTTTTCAGCCTTTTCTACCCTGATCTAGGTACATTTATGTTTCTTAAAAGTGCAATGATGTGACTGTATTTAGCAGTAATGCGTGAATCTTTACTTTAGATTGATGCATTATAGCTCATTGTTATCATTTGAAGTCCTAAATGAGACATGGATTAGTTTATGCAGTATTGAGATTTTGGCAGTATTTAGAAGAGGCCCAAGAGCATGCATGAAGAAAAAGAAATCTGCAAAAAAGAAGAGACCTTCTTGAGAAGAGTTTGCTGATGCAATTAATAGCTTAGATGCCGTGTTCTGATGGAACTCAAGCGTACATCTGGGGAAACAGAAATATGTATGGAAGAACCACTGTTGTGGAAGTTTGCAAAAGAAAGACATCAACAACAAAATACCTGTGTATTTGACGAACTTGCAAAACTAAAAAGGTTGTAGATGTGTAGCCTATAAATTTGTTCCGATGTCCATCAATGATGAACTTAGCTGAATGAAAGATAGTTGACACACGTCATATCTGGCTTTATGGAGTTTGTGAAAGAATGCAAAACTGGAGAAGATGAGAAAAGAATTCAAAAAGCGGCAACGGTTCGTATTCAGTTGGAGAATTTTAGTGTCCCTTTTTCCCCTTTGACTTTGCTAGATGAGGGAAAGCACTCAAAATATTGTGGGCTCTCAGGTCTTGCCTGGTCAATATTCCCACCACAGGAGAAACCTACAAAAGGGAGCATAACATCAGGTAAGTGATACTATATTGGATAGTTATGGCTTATTTACGGAAAAAGCATTCTTTTCCATCATATGTTGTAGTTTCCTTCTTGTTTTAACTATCACTATTCAATCCTTTTTATGTCTTTTTTTTTTTTTGGGCTTCAGAAATCTTAATGAAGAGTTTGCTTCAGAAACTAACCCCGGATGCTTGATACTTTGGTATGATGATCATGTGCCGGAGCCCCACTTGCCTGAACAGCACCATTGCTTTTGCTGCTGACATGCTTTCTAACACCGTATAGGGTGTGGTATTTGTTATGGGATGCAAGTCAACATACATCTCCATTTCATCCTTTGTTACAGTCACGTCATCAATCTTACCCCACCTTTCAGCCAAATCAACCCAGGTGAATTTCTCTCTCACTTCCCACTCCTCTGTCCTCCGTCTTTCTGGCAGGAACCACTTCCTTTTCAGCACTAACAGAAGGTGAGCTCGCAGGACTAATCCTACCAGTTCAGTTGCTCCAGTTTGTGTCCCAACTGGTGCCATTACCCCTTCATCTACAACGGGGAACCCATTGTGTGTGGTGTTCCTGAGGACTTCTACAATGTAGCCAACTTTCTCGATCCCATGAAGAGTAACAACTGGCGGCTTGACATCAGCTAGTTCCCCAACAGTTATATTTCTCATCCATGGTTCTGGATTTGCATCTAAGAAAGGTAGACCTTTTAATTCTAGTATTATCTCGTATATGCTTGGGTTGAAGCAGTCTCCAACTGTTTTGGCAATTAGAAGAACGAGCATTGTCATGGGTAGCAGGAGAAGGTTGTTGGTCAGCTCAAGAAAGATGACACAGAGCGAAACTGTCATCCTCATTGAACCAGCCATTAGAGAGGCTGCACCTAGAACGGCATAGAGCCCTTGGTCAATTTGTGTGTATGGGCCCATGGCAACGCCAAGCATACGACCATAAGCAGCACCCATGAGGATAATTGGAAGGAAAAGACCAGATGGAACGGCAATTCCAAAGGTTATGAGCCCTAGAATGCAATATAGAACAAAGAAGATAGTGAGGGTAAAGATATGGAACTCTGAGGAGGTGCTTGTGGAGAAAATGTTGCGAACAGCATCATCATTGGTTGTGAGGAGAAGAGTGGCTAGGTCATTATACTGTCCATTTGGGCAGTTGAATTGCTTGAAGTTTCCTGCTCCTCCATTTGTGGGGCAGGAAGTCTCTTGAATGGAGGGATCACAAGGTCGGCAACTAGCAAGGAATGGTAGTCCATATACGCATACAGAGGTGAAGATAGAGACACCAAGGCTTAGTAGAAGTTTATGTAGTTTTCCTTTCCTGCAACATTAGTAGAGAGTAAGAACCCTACAGTCAGAACATCACAATGTTTTTAATTCAGGTTGGTTCTCTTTAACCGTGGATTGTACTGACACAGAAGAAATTGCAATTCAGTTTAAAGCAATATTTGAATTGAACAATACGCGGCTCTCTGTTTTGAAATTTAACTATGTTTGCTAAAAGGTTCATCAGTTTTCATGCGATTGTCTCTGGAGAGAGCTTGGTTCATCTCTAGGTTTTGGCCTTTTGACCTTTGGCTTTGAATGAATCCAAGCGGTATTAAAAGTACAGAAATAACCCATGGAATCATGGGAGAGATATTGCAGAGCAGAGTTATATATATTTGAAAAATGGGTACTTACTCATTTATAAGACTGTAAAGCCGGAGGACCTTATGGAGAACATGGTTGTAGAGGCTTCCAAGCAGTCCTCCAATTATGCCAATGACAGCAATAGGAATGAGATCTACGATGTGATACCTCACAGAAACTTCACTTACATCAAACATGATTAGACCTCCTTTTCCAAAAAGTCCACAGTATCTGGATTTGCAGTATTCCATGAAGGCTCTGAGCACCACCACCACGACTGCAGTGCTGAAAAAAGATCTCCATAGGAGGGCACTTCTCCACCATGTTGCAACCTCCTCGAGAGCAAAGAGGACGCCGCCAACTGGTGCTCGGAAAGCAGCACAGACACCTGAAGAGGACCCGCAGGTGATGAGATCTCGCCTGTCCCTGTCGTTATTAAAGTAACGAAGCCAGCGCCATTTTATCCGGTAATTGTCCGGTCCACCTTGTCCTAGTAAGGAAGCAATGCAGCTTCCAATGTGCACCAAAGGCCCTCTTTGCCTAGATCTAAGCCTGCAGCAACAGCTCCTATGCTTCCAATGATCTGTAATGAAGTGAAGAAGCTAGAAGACCATTCAGCTCACCTCTGACGTGCAATCGAACTACTAACAGACACAATAAGTTGCTTCATGTGAAAACTGTTTTCGTTAGGCGTTTAACTTCTTCCTTGTGGTTTTGGCTTGTAAGGTGTATGTTACTGAAGATCATTTGGATGCCATCAGAAACTATTTTCTCGTTGACCGACTAATTGTGAGGTAAAAACCTTCTTAAGGATTGCAAGAGATCAGAAAAAAGCACATAATAGTGGTGGTGGATTATACTCGTTATCAAGAGTGTGTGTGTATATATATATATAATCAAGGCCTCTGTCAAATGAGGTTTGCATTGATTTACTTGCCAACCTAGTGATATGGGTACGCATATTATCAACGAGAAGGAAATTGCTACACTTTTAATAACGACGCAAAACTTAAGCTCTGAATTCTGCAATTAGAACGGCCAACTCACCTTGACAATTAATGTAGTAGCGCCATACATATTTGGAGTGTCAACCCCATTTAGATAAGCTTTAATTTCAGGTATCCCAGGGCCTGCTGCAGTAGGAGCAAAGAACACGCAGAGAACAGCGGCTAGAAGCGTAAGAAGAAAATTAGTCCCGGCAAAGAATAGGAAACCCATTAGGTACCTGCATCAAACCAAAGAGCGGTGAATGACAAAAATAATTGATTGCTCTTTGCTGTGAACAGAGATGCTATATAATATGAGGAGGCTGGTATCCCGGTATACGACGAAACCTTTTATTATTGATGTAGTCGATCACTTTGAGAAGTTTGTAGCCTGCAATATTTTCCACAGCTAGATTGATGAGGGTGGCTATTACTCCGGTTAGAAGACCAACTAGGAATGCCAAGGTCCATTTCAAGAAGACATACTGCAACACCTGTACTTGGGCTCTGCTTCTCCAGTCATGCTTGAAGAGATCATTTTCGTTGATCCTGCACAGGAGCGTAGCTTTGCGTATAAAATGCTGTGTAGGGGTGAAATGAAGGGCGGGAAGCAAATTGATCCGACAGGGAAGGAGATGTACTGGTGTAGTCTTACTCGTAGTCTAGACTCTCTATGTAAGAAACTTTGGCTCCAACCACAGCTAGTGGATTGGAGGAAAGCGTTCTGTTTCTCTTGAGGAGAGGTTGATGAAGTGAGTTGCTCTCTGGATCTCTTTCCTGGTTTTGTGCTTGTCCGTCTACGTCGTTGGTCGCCGCTGCTGCAGCAAATTGGTTGGAGTCCTCCATAAGGACGACGAGATTGGGGAAGGGGGAGAGGGGAGAGGGGGCGCTTAAAATCTCCTATCAGGCGAGGCGGAGGCAGTCATTAGCAGCAGCAGCGGGATCTGGTGACGAGGAAAGGGAAAACGGAAAACCCCCCTTCTTCTTTCCCTTTTTTTTTTTTCCCTGGAATTCAGAGGATGGGGGAGACGTGACCATCTGGTACACGCATATACGGTACGTATTTTGCTGATGTTCGAGGGAACAGATAATATTTACGGCCAAGTTGTTCTGCGGTGCTCATTAGAGTAACTTTATAGATTATTCCATAAATTGCTCCATAAATTGCTAATCAAAAATTAATGCCAAGTCATACTTAATCATAATGGTGTGTGTGTGTAAATGTGGGGAAAAAAAAATGTGGGCCCTCTTGTTTTTCTAGACAAATATGTACGTACTTGCACGTGTTATCACTGATCTTGTATTTCATTATTTTTTTTTAAAAAAAAATTAGCTTTAATTTTCTAAACTAACTAATATGTGGGGGGCGCTCTTACTTTTCTAACATGGAGTTGGAGTGAATTATTATTAGTGTGTTGCAATGAAAGTTAGGAATTGTTATGGGGAAAATAAAAAATGGTGGGTGAATTTTTTTCAAACAGTAGTACTAACAGAAATGATAAGGAGAAGCTTGTAGGTGAAAGAGGTTCTCATGGTCGTCAATACACTTTAATAATAATAAATGAATGAATGATTGGATGAGGATCCTGATTGGATGAGGGATGGGGAAGTCGCAGAGATGATGCCACGTCATCCTCTTCACTTCATTAGTTATCATCAGACATAATAACTATTGATTGATTATTACCCAAACGAAAAAAAAAAGGAAAGACATAGCTATCGATGACCTGGCTTTTGGCTCTACATATTGGTGTTGTATTTGATACCCGCTTATTGCATTATTGCATTGACTGATGCTTACGTAAAGCTGATCGCCTTTTTTCACCACCCCGGCCCCCCTCTCCCCCTATATATATATATATATATAATATACTACATGAGCGACTCTAGACACGTAAATAGTAAAAGGCAACGATTTTTTTTTTTTATCGTCTAGATAGACATTGCTGCATTTTTTTTTCCTCCTCTTGCTGTATACTAATAATGAACGTAATAATTACAGTGTTAGGAATTGTGGCTCAGTGACTGGCCGGCTGGCACTTTAGTTGACTAAGGATCAATGAATGATTGATGAAAAGTCTTTTTAGCGGATCGGAGTTGAGTGGAGGTGCAAAATCATAGTACTAGAATTGGGTCGTTTTTTACATTTTAAATTTTTAAGATGAGATCGAAGATCTCCCATGAAATGAGGGCAAGTTGGATGCGAGATCGTCGTGTCGTAGGTGTGGCTGGCGTGTGAACCACAACCAATCAATCAGATGCACTTTGCCTGCGTCCGCCTTTGACACATGACAAAGAGAGGATGGCTGATTCATTCAGCTTCAGTCCATTAATTGGATTGTCTTCACACACACACCCACCACACGTGTAGCCTGGAATTGGATTGTCAATTTGTGTTTTTGTCGTCTCTACATAACTCATACTTTACTTATTTATTTTCGTACGTAACTTTTTTTTTTCTGTTGAGGGAGGGTAGAGCTACGTACGAATCAAAACGCTCAAGAGCAACTTGAGTCAAAATTCGACTTAGAGATTGGTTAGCATCAAACTCAAATCGAGTTTAGACTCGAACTCAACCCTAAAGAAATTAAATTTGTTATTTTGTGAGTCAATTCGATTATATATATAATATTTTTATTTTAATAATCAAATTATATATATATCCATAATATTTAACACCAAACTTGATTGGAGTTCGAACTTTATACCGAGAATTTGTCGAGTTTGAGCTTGATTTTGAACTTGAAAAATTAAATCGAAACTCAATTCAATTAGATTAAAATTTAACTTGACTCAATTCATTTGAAGCCTTGGGAGTGATCTAATGCTTTGCATTAATTCAGCACGTTGTTATTCCTCTAGAAATAAAAAATGGATAATTTTAGAAACCTTACTTGAGGTTTCACAAAATATCACCTAGCTCCTTTGAGCTTTTCAAAATCTCGCTTAGCGCCCTTGAAGTAATAGTGGCACCATATGCCAATATCAATGGTGAAAAATTGTCAATAATACCCTCATATTTAAACTTTCTAAACTTGTTTTTTCTTTCTCTAAAATTTCTACTTTTCTTTAACAATATTTATACATACATACATATATATAATTGAAGTGCAAGTGTCAATGAAATATTCAGCACGTTTGGAGAAGAGTAGTTGCAGATTTTTTTTTTCCTTTTTTTTGTGTTTCACAACTATATTTATCTATTTATTTGTTTCTATTCATGTAGAGCACCGGAGAAATGAAGTAATTGAAACTCCAAACTCTGTGATTTTTCAAATTATAACTTTTTCTTTTTGTAATAAAAATTTAGTCTTTCACTCCCCTAAAAAAAAAGTCAGCTTATTTTGAGTAAATTATTTATATGATATTGAAATTGATTTCATCTATTGCTGATTTTTTTTTGCTCGAATGCATAAGTTTGACTTGCCAATTGCTTTTAACACTATGGAAGGTTTTTATTTGTGGAAATGATTTGAAGAATAGTATTTGCTTTTACTATCTCTCTCTGCTACAGAAGTGACATTGACGGTAACATATAAATCTTCACAAACTTTTATCTCCTCACTTTTAAGATGGTTTCAATTTAGTTTTTTTTCTTGGTTTGTAAAATGTTCATTTTTTTAAATAGCTTAATGGTATTAAGGGCACTAAAATAGTCTCTCTCCTCAAACATGAATTTTCTAATATTACTTTTGATTAGAAGGGCTGACAATGTTACAAAAATGTCAAATTGAGGGGTGCTAAGTGATATTTTGAAAACCTCAGAGGAGCTAAGTGATATTTCATGAAACCTAAGGGGAGGTTTCTAAAATTATCCCGAGAAAGAAAAAAATTTCACAACAGTAGTGTACGTAAAAAGAAATGAATGGGCCGAGTATCTCAGTTGCGGGTGGGGTGGACAGGACAGTTGTAATGCGGAGATTTGAAGGCAGAAGTTGGTCGGACGGTGCATATAAGATGACTTTTGAAGCAACTCAACGGTCACCTTATCCACATCGATCTATCTACCACGTTGGCTTATTGCGTCTACGTGTTGCTATTGTGGTCCTCTCACTTGTTTCATGCAATGGATGATTTGAGCCATTGTTATGGGGAGGAGAGGACCAATTACGTGCGTCTTTGTTCATATACAACTATTTTCTTTTAACTTTTTTCCCTTTTTGAATACATATTCGATCTACAGAATTAATGTTACGTATTATTTTTTTTTTTCGATCTACAGAATTAAATGTTACGTATTATTACGGCTTCACAATCTAGTTACATTTAGTCCAAAATTCTGTTGATTTTAAATTGAAACTTGAATGATGTAAGCTTGCAAGACCTGACAAGTATTAGAATTATTTCACGCTCAGACAGAGACCTGGGCCCAATTTCTTGCCAAACCTCAGCCTTCAATATCTCTCTCTGTCATTTTTTTTTTTTTTTTTGGGTTGGAGTAGACTTCAGTTTAGGAAAGGTCAAGAGTTGGACCACGGCTTTTACTTTGTGCATCAATATTAAGAGAAACCCGATCAATAATTAAGAAAAACCCAGTTCGAATTAACTTGGTTATGAGTAATGTCTTTTCCAAAAGGCCAAAAAAAAAAAAAAAAGAGGTAATGTAAATATAGACGGTCGCTCGTGTTTGGACAATCCAAGACACACACACAGTTAGCCGGGGAGCCGCTTACAAGTACAACTAGCTACTTGTGTGGCCAGCAGCAGCAGCAGCAGCAGCAGGAGGCTTGTTACGGATGCAAATTGAGTGAGAATGAGATAGGACCAAATATGACCCAAAAAAAAAAAGAAAAAATGGAAAAAATTCTCCACCCCCTCCATTTGAATAAACGAGATTGCCGACTATCACCGGAATGGAATCCCACCCCTTATTAGCCCGGCGGCTATCCACGTCCAGAAGGCGTAAACGAGATCTTATCCCAAGCCAAATGAGTCGGTCGCATGTGATCGATCACTTTTAATTTTTCATTTTTGCTACTTTTGGTTGGGAGGGAGTTTATTGAGCCAGCGATCCGCGCGCTGAGTTGTCCACTCCTGCCTGGTTGGGTTGCATTGTGAAATCAAGGAATTGTGGGGGCGGTCCATCCACGCCTTTACATCATCCGATCGTCCGTCTCGACAGTCTCTGGTTCCAGATCTCACATGTCCCAATCAAAACTCTTAAAAAGGCACGCTTGCGTTTTGTTCTTTTTGACTTTTGACTGCACCCATCCCTACCGTTTACATAGATCACATGTTTCTTCTTGTCATTCACAAGCAAGCATTTTTTTTTTCATTAGACGTCAGCAGCTAGCCTAATTTGCTTATACACTTATTTCTATTTTAGCCTAACTTAGTGGCTCAACAAAACCTAAAAAATCCGGCAGAAACTGAATCACTATTATACCAAACAAATTTCGTATGAATTTGAAAAAAGTCACATATAGTAACATATTAATGAAAAGTAATGTTTAAATCCTTGATCTCCTGTCCATTAAGACTTAAAAGTCTTTTAACATTCCTTGATTCCGCTCAACCCATTCTGCCCTTTTTTTTTTTCTTGAGTTGTTGTAATTTGTAAATGGCTTTAAAAACCGCCCATAGTTCTAGAATGAGGCCCTTGCCAGTTCCCACCACCGCCGTCCCAGTAGTAACGTAACGTAACATATAGATACATTAGTATTGTCATGCGGGGAGGATGGATTTAGACGACCACACCATAATTAAGCAGCTAGCAAGCAACCACACACTGATCAACTGAACCCTTATTCATTATCGCAGCTTTACCCAACTGAACCCTTATTTATTTATTTTTTCAGTCCTCCACAGGAAAAAGCACAAACTTTAGCCATTAAATCAAAGTCCCCCTCCGCAGTCCGCACCCAAGAGCTCCTTTAATTGATGCATTCATTCTTTAACTAATTATGCTCTCTAAGCCAGAAGGATAGATAACATTCTTTTCTTTTTTTTTTTAACCTTGTCTAAGAATCGTATTTAATTGAGCAAAAAAATTAATAATTTTTTTAAAAAATCCTTAATAGTGTGTTGACTGACTGCATAACAAAAAGTTTCCATTTGCCGCATACTAAACCAAAATGAGATGAGCCTTAATTCATCTGCAATAACTCCTCACACCTCATCCATCGGCATATAGCTTTTTGCAAGTATAATCAGAAACGCAATATCGGAATTGGGACGAATTTCCAAACCTAGGACACCGCCCCATCATGGACATGGGGTGCGCTAGATTTTTTCTCCAATTTTCTTGCGCTGTCAGAAAGTAAATCCTCCACCGACTCCACCAAAATGAAAGAATTTCATCTCATTCGGGAATATCACCGATCCTCTATCCCAGCTTTACATTCGACCCATGTCGATCTATCCATTTGATCAAATTTGTCTTCATTACTACACAACAAAAAGGGCATACTGCATATAGCTCAATGACGAAGGTGATTTTCTTGATTCTACAGAAGAAAATTTGACAGACAGAAACCTAAAATGAGGAAAGAGTCCTCAACGCTGGACAGCAATCAATAGGGAAGGTCTCCATCAGGAAGTTCCCAGTTATCTTCGTCTTCATCTTGCTTACTATTCTTAGAGGTCTCCTGCCTGTCTTGAAAACTGCCTCGCGACTGGGGGCGTCTATTATCACGAAAGAGATGATTAACTACAGCCAGCCAAATAAATAACTGTCTACCATTCAATGCATAAGCACAAATCACAAAATGAACCATTACTTGGTCACATGACAAGTGAATCACAATGGCCCAACGCATGCATAAACAACAATTGAAGAGCCCTGATACTAGTTAACATTTGATATCCAAGGCAGCACAAGCTAATTTCAAAAGCAAACTACCATTATTTTGTTTTTCCTTCTTTTTTTTTTTTGTGGTTTGGATTGGGGTGGGATGGGACGAGGGGGTGGTGAGGACAGACACCATTGCAGCGTATTTAGTCCTTTTACTTTTATACCCATGTAAAGTTGTAAACGTACACACACACACTTGTTTTGGTACTTGAGCATATGAAATCAAACCAACAAATTCACAATCTCCTAATTGATGGAAAATTTTGTTCACAGAAGAAAATTTACACTGTTGCGTCAATCATGAAATATTCAACTCAAGGAATGTTATAAATGATCTAGGATTAAATGGCTTATAATCAACTTTCCTGCATCTTCAGGTAATTCTTCTATTGCTCCCTCGGTCCTTTGATTGCATTTATAAACACCACCAGGCACTAGCTTATCTAATTAGTCCAATTTCTTAAGAAAACTCAAACACTGTCAAACACCTGATAGTGAAGCATCCCCATTCTAGGTTAAAATGATTAGCCAACTGTGAATTTAAGTACCATCAAAATGTTTCACTTATCCTCCTATGCTTCTGCCTCAAGGGGGGGAGGAGAGGGGGGGGGGGAGTGTTTGGAAACCCTTATCTTCCTACATCAACACCATTTTGGCATTAAAATTTTTGGCCACTTTTTGTTTTCTCATTTTTGCCCCAAGCAAATCAAGGACAAACATTATACAATCACCAAAAGCCATGCCCAACCAAACAAAAAAAAATTTGCAATGCTTGAAACCATGTTAGTAACTGCCAATCTGCCAAATTGTTATCCATCTGCACATTTTTAACTCATCAAGTTCTCTAAATAATTATTGTCAAAATGTGAGACCAATTTGAGTTTGCTACCATGTACAACATCATATTACGAGAAGTCATTACCACTGATGCGGCATCCTTCATTTTTCCTATTCTATCCTTCATTCTTTTGCTTCTACTTACATCGTCACTTTAGACATAATCACCACCAACAGTAGTTCACCACACACACCACCACAACGATCACTACCATCCACCACTGACGATCACCAATATAAGAAGAGAGAGGGATCTAGATAACTAGAAGATAATCAAATGGCAACCCTGGAAAATAATGGAAAGGGAACCACCTGTCCACCACAAACCAACACCTTCACCACCCCTATTATCACGACGGCATCAGCCATCATGTAACTACAGCAGGGAAAGAGATAAGGAGATATGGGCAATCATAAAAAGGGGTCAACATTATGCAGATTGTTGGAAAATTTTGAGTAGGCTGAAGGCTATGAGAGTAGAGCAAAAAGTGGTGAAAGAGTGGGGACGGATGGTTGGAGAGGGAGATGGTGGAGAGAGAACAACGGGGAGGGCCATAGAAGATTTAGTACTCTTTGATGTGGGAGAAGAAAGAGAGAGAAAGGAGTGGGTTTTTGAGAATTTGATACCTTTTCTTAATGAAGTCGTGATTATCCAACCAATTTTTTGAGAATATTTTCCGTACGTAAGGATTATTTTTATTAGTTGCACAGATGTTTGAGTGTGACTTAATCACTAGTGAAAAAAACTAACCATGCAATTGTACCCAAAACTACCCAAAAAACCAGTTTATATTTTGGATTTCTAGGCGTTGGAAACATCTACATCCAAAGAAGTGGGTACTAATCTGAGTGGTAGGTTGTTGCAATTAAAAGATTAAGAGGACGACATCGGAAGCGAGCAGAGTGTCAAACAGAGAAATAAAATAATCCCAGTAAAAAATTGAATGACTAGCTTACAAAAAATGGCAAAAACTGCGCGGTTTAAGGTGCCTAAAACTGAAAAAAAAAAAAGGTTGCCAGAATACAAGATCCAAGGGTGATTTTTTGCTTTAGTTGCAGTGAACAAACTACGAGACATGTTGGCAAAATCAGTTCAATGCATCTCGCTGAACCAGGAAAATCTTCATGTACCCAGTGCAAATATTTGTCTTGATCATTAATTGGAATTCAACCAAATCAGAATATGAATAAATCACTTATTGCAGCAACAATAACTGAGATGCAAGAAATGTATTCTTCAAAGACAGATCCGAACATGCTTCCCAACGAGGCCTTTCAGAAATCAAGTACCATCATCCATACTTGGATTGACCAACATATATGCAGAAATGTAAGCAGGTAGAAGCTAGCATCAAGAACCTTCATAAAGTAAAGAATGAAAAAAATAATTCAAATGAAGCACATCTTGTTTGGAAAGAGAAATCATGCATCGGAGAAAAACACAGGCAGCTGCTGCAGTTTGGAGCCTAGAATTCTAGGCATCAGGAGCTGAAATTGGAGAAATTCCATTTAGAAAGATGATGGCGTCTAAGCTACTAAAATACTTATCTGCAACTGTACGGTAGAAGTATTCGAATTCCGCAATGTCTCTTAACACTTACCTTTACCTTTCCTTTTTACTTAGAGGAATCATCCCAACGTTTAAGTAACAACTTATACTTACTTTGTTAGTGTGGTACCATAAAATCCCAGTTACCACGTGAGGTATATTCTATGGGAAAAAAAAATTCATATTTATCCCGTCTGTTCTGAAGGGAAAGGGTGGTTGGGGGTGGAGAGGGTATAAAAGGGGTTTACCTTCGGCGATTGCGCTTGGCGGCCTCGCGAGACTTGCGCTTTTTCTCGTCCTGCTTGTTCTCAAAGAACCTTCTGCGCCTGCATTCTTGAATCACGCCGGCCCTCATCACCTCTCTCCGGAACCTGTTCAGGAGCTTCTCTTCCGGCTCGTTCTCATCCACAAGCACCTGAACGTTGTAAGCCGATCTAAAGAAGAGCGTGTTAGCATAAGCAAGAGACGGGCAAACCACCGACATCAGCCCATTATTAAGATCATTATCAGTCGACGATGACAGGGGCAGGTACTGCTGGTTTTCAAGTCGGGTGGCGGCGGCCAAAGCCAACCCATCCTTGGTGGAGCAAGTGGGAATGAAGAGGTGGGACGGCTGTGGCAATTTGAGCAGAGCTGGAGGTTTTGATGAGGGAGCGAAGAAGGAGAGGAGGTTTGCTATGGATGAGGCTGCAGCAGCCATATTCTCGATTTCGGTGTTGGATAAAACCCAAAAACCGTAAATAAAAACTAAATAAATGAAAAGACCTCAGCTCAGCTGAGAGGGACTGGAGCAGAGTGTCACAAGTCTCATAAGACGGGCCGGTCGTCGATGAGCCAAATTTGGATCATTACAGCCTCAACCAGGGGACATTTTTTTCCTGTCCTAGAAGTCCATCAACTGGTTCTTTCATATGGGCCTAATCTGGTTCTCAAATCAAATCAAAGGGGTTGGATGGAGGGATCTGTCAACAGCAAGGGTTTGATGATCAATAGTATAGTAGCAGTAGCAAATAATCCCCACCATTTGTAGGTCAGTTTCAGTTGTAATGGAAATAGAGAGTCAAATTTGAAGCAAAAGATTTAAATTGACTACAGATTTTCAGTCAAGAGCACATATAGTAGTTGTATTTTAGTACTGAAAAGTTATATCTGCGTGATTGAGTTTACAACTGATGATGAGGCGGCAGTGTCCTCGTTAGGTTAGGTTACATGAAGCCAATGCGCAGCGCTAAATTAATGTCATCCGCCAATCATATCTGCATGGTACGGTGCACATGTAAAAGTAGAAAAAGTGCCTTCTCCACCAATCCTTAACATGCTTGTCGTTCATTCATTGTGATGGTTTTGGTGACTGCATTTTTTGGAGACACGCTTGCAATTATGCAAAAATGCTTCAGCCTACACGAACGACTATGACAAGTGAGTGAAATCCAAGTTTTTTTTCTTGATACGTGACAAGAGTAATAGTGGTATAGATTGGGATTGAAGAAAAGCAGAATATTTTGTTAGTCCGCTAATCAAAGTGGACACACACCACATCCAACATATTACTACCTTTTTTCCCATTAGTGTGTACTATTACTTAATTTAATCCACACCACACTACTATTATTATATTAAGTAGTAGTAGTATTTGAAATATTATTTTGAATAATTACTGTAGCACTTTTTGTGATGTGATGTACATGAGATAAAAAGTAATTGAAAATATAAAAAGGTGGGTTGAAAAATGTGTTTATGATGCAAGCGAAATTATACTCCATCCGTCCCACTTTGATAATCCTGTATTCCTTTTTTATCTGTCCCAAATTGTAGTCCACTTTCCAATTGAAGAATGTAGTTGTATTTTAATTTTCCTAAAATACCCTTATTCAATGTAAGTAGTTGTTACTATAAACTTACCCCATTTAATGAGAGTTGATTCTTTTTTTACCATCAATTCAAGTTCCCATAAAGTTGTACCATATTTAATGTGAAGATATTTTAGGAAAATAGCAATCTAAATTTACTTTTCCAACAAAGTTAACTACTTTTTCTTAAACTGTGTGAAAAAAGAAACAGAACTATCAAAGTGTGACGGAGGACTATTTGGAATAATTTCACTATCCAAACCTACTAGTATTATTTTAGCCTTAGGGCAGCTCCAATGGGGGTGTAATGGGGAGCCATTACACCGCTCCATGACACGGCTCCCCATTGGAGCCGTGTCATGGAGATTACACGCATCATACATATGATGCGTGTAATCCATTGATAAAGGCCCATGGCAACGGTAATCCATTTTGTTATTATTTGTATTTTATTTGATTTAACTTATGTAATATTATGTTATGGAGTTCAACTAATAAATTTTTCATTATTAATTAAGTATGGATTATTATGATATCTTCGCATTTGAAGTATCAAATATTTGTTTAATTTCCTACATAATTATTTTTTAAAAAATAACAATATATTATTTTTGAAACATAGAAAAAGATATATTATTCAAACTTAAAAATTAATAATATCATTTTTAGAAAATAAAAAAATTCAAAATGTACAAAATTTAACGAAAGTTAGTACTTTATTTTTTAAAAATAACAAAATTAGTTTTAAAAATTACTTTATTTATTTATGGGATATGAGTTATGCATTATTAAAATAAATATTTGATTAATTGTGGACCCATGCTATTACACCTTGTAGAGTGTAATCCATTGTGAGTGAAAGTGTAATGAAAGAGGAGAAAGTGGAATGCTGACGTGGCATGTGGATTACACTCCACAAAGTGTAATAGCATTGTGGATGCTCTTAGGGTGAGCGGTATGGATGGATGGAGGGATGCCTCGGGCTTTGGCACCTTTAACCTTTTATTTATCCTACGGAATTTCCAACAATTCCACTATCAAGGGCGCTGTACCGTACCGTGGCACTTTCCCAGCGTTTCGTCGTTATTTAATTAGCCATGGCTGGGAATCAATCAATTTAAGGATAGGATGATGATATAAACTTTTCGGGGCCGTTCTCTTTTATCACTGCCACATGGTCCTTTTGTCTTCTAGAAGAAGAAGAAGAAGAGATTTGTGTAATACTCCATTATGTACGCAGTATGCTTACTTGTCAGAAATTTGCAGAACTGCCTGAGGAAAAAAATAAAAAAAAAAGTAAACCATATTTATCTCTGTATGTTTTGACGATATGAGGTTTTTGAACCAAAAAAAAACAAAAACCACCATTTATTGGCGCGTCTGAGGAATTGTAATGCGTAAACAATTAGAGACTGAGGAAAGAAAATGGAGGAAAGAGATCTCCAAGCGCCCACCGCCCACTCAAAAAGTGTCAAACGTCTCGAAGACGGAACAGAGTATATATATATATATATGTATGTATAGGACAAAACTAGTGCTGACGAGGAAGGCAAGATAACTTTCCAGTAGAGACACCAAGTGAAGCAAAGCGAGAGGGTAAATAAAATGGGATAATTTCAGAAACCTCAAGGCAAGGTTTAAGAGAATCACACTTACATCCCTTGACATAGTAAAATATTTATAATATCCTCCACTTGATAGACAGTTACAAATTTAAGGCAATAGATTTACAAAACCCAAAAAAAGTCCATTTTTTTTGTCTCTCATCTATTTTTGCTCATCTCTTTTATAGTTAATATACTGCTATACCATCTTTTTATTATTTTTAATTTTGTGGGTATTAGCAAATTGAAATTACAAAATTAACAGATGGAGTAGATTGTGTCTCAAACTAAAAAGAAATGAAGAGACTCCTGGTGATAGAGAAATAAATAATGAAATTGATGATTAAAATATGAATAGAACTAAAGATGTGAAATTTATCAAATTTTGTTTGTTTCAATAAAAAATTTTCAAATGTCAATAATTACGTAAGGATTTCTTTCGTTGAATTTTAAATTTTTTGTGATGATTTTATTGTAGAGGTAAAATTTATTATCTACTTTTGAGATATTAATATTTTAAGGCCATAGAATGGGTTGTAATAGTAGTTTTAGAGTGGATTAACTTGTATTGAAAAGGTATTTGAATATTGATATTTAATTTTGGGGTATAAAATTGGTTGTCAATGAGGAGTTATGTGTGTGTGTTTTTTTATGACAACTATTGATACTGTATTTGCAAATTAGGATTTTTTGGATAGTTACTTGAATTTAAAACTCATGATTGGATGGTTGTTAGGAATTCGGCTTGTTGATTTGTGCAAAGTATGGAAGAAAAAATTTGAGTATACCATATTTTTCTTTCTTAGTTCTATACAAAAGGGCAATTTCAAAATTTTGAAAGAAAATATAGCATGTTGAACTCACATTGTTACATAAACAATAAAAGTAGGGGAGTATGTGTAAGTTTTAAAAATCGAGAGGAGTTCTCTGTAATTATTAAAAACCTCAGGGGAGGTTTGTGAAATTAAGTTTTAAATTTCCACCTTTTCTCTACTTTTCCGAAATGGACGATGCTAAAGTTGTTGCTTGGGATTGTTTGGAATCACTCTCCTCAATCAAAACAATAAATAATAAACATTCATGTCTGGGGTATTTTATTCTCTCCCTGGAAATGGAGTTGGAGGGGTCCGACTCCGACTCCAAACAAGCAAGAAAACAAAAAAAGAAAGAACCCACCTTCCTTGCCTTTGCCTTCGATCTTTCACACGCGAGACAGATATGTATTATATTAGAACTCGCTTTGTGCCTTTTCTCTCTTCCACTTTCGTACTTCCTTAATAGCAGTATTGTAAAACCAGGAAATATACAGACTTCATAATCCCCAATTGGTTTCCCTGCATCGTTTCTTTACTTTGTTATGCAATGTAACCGTCCTTCCCTTTCGTCTTTGTCGGTATGCTTTCTTTTCCTTCAGCTTTGTAATCATTTATGCAAGACTACTTTTTTTTTTTGTCTGCTGATTCTTTCCAGCAAGTTGGTTAGTATTTTGACCCAAAAAAAAAGGGTAAAAGGCTGCCGTTAGGGTTCTGGCTGTGATGTTTGTAATCTTTGAGTTTGACAACTTCTGCTCTGAGGTCTGTTTGATCCTTGGCTTATTTGTTGATTATCCATTCACCTTCGTTCTTCCCTATTTATTATTTTTACATCGGAGTTGCGCATGTTTAATTCCTCTCTAATTTGTAGCATAGCATTTTTTCCCTCCCCCTCAAGTAATCTACTTGTGCCCCACTCTCTATTTTTTCTCTTACTTTTGGTGGGTGTGGGATGGCGAAAAGTTATGATCTTGTCAAGCTGAGAATGGTTATCCTTCGCTGATTGCCGAACCTTTTATTACCTTGCTAAGCAAAGATTGTCCTTTTTTTTTTTTTCTTTTTTTGGGCTTTTGTTTTTGTTGGGTTGAAGGAGGGGGAGGGGATTGTTATCACTTCTTGTCTGCATGTCAATAACTTTTTCCTTGCTGGGTTTCTCTTACACATTTCTCCTTGGATACTAATTTGATAGTAAAGTAGACTTTCATAGTCAAGTAGCTACTCTTACGTGCTTTAATTTCTTTGTGTCTTATTTTCACTTCGTGATTCTGCTCTTTTCTATGTTTTAGGCATTCTATTGTGTATTATTGCAAAATTTGCCACCTGCATCTGAGTTTGTCCATGTGTTTACATTTTGTTCTTCATCCTTTGGGAACTTTGACAATGGCACCAATTGTTCCAACTGCTATATTAACTTATTCTCATTTTCCATTTGAGTTGAAAGGATGCGAAGGATGTTATCTGTTCCCAAGTTCAGATTAGTGCATTGCATGAACATTTTGTTGGACTCTAGTTGCATTTCTCTTTTGTTTAATAGATTTCACAACATCTCATCACTTGATGACCTGTTGCCTCTTTCTTTTACTTTTTTCCAATGAGAATACACAGAACTGAAGGCTTTGGGGACTATGTTTAAGGACAAGAGAAAAGAAACTGAACAAGAAAATGAGGGTTTGGATGAGTATTGTTACTGCCTGACTGAGAAAGACACATTTGATTTGAGTTATGATGATGGTAACTTGTTCAGATTACATGGCACTTCACCACCAAAAAAGGTTAGAGTTTGTGAGACTGGAAACGGCTTGGACCATAAGACGGATCCTAAACCTTCTGAGGATGGTGGTGCCATTACATCGGTAGGTGAAGAACCTCAGGATGCAGATTATTCTTTCCTTCCCTCATTGGACTATGAAGTTGAGAATCTGATTTTCGCTAGGTTACCTAGGTCGGAGCATTGGAAGTTATGCTTTGTGAACAAGAGGTGCTTAACTCTCCTGACGAGTGGTGAGATATTCAAGATTAGACGAGAAATTGGGTTTAAAGAACCTTCTGTTTTCATGCTGGCAAGTGGGGAAACTAGTTGGTGGGCATTTGATCGGGACTTCAAGTCTCGAATGAGGCTTCCATTTGTGCCATCTGATCCATGTTTTCATTCTGGAGATAAGGAGTCACTTTGTGCTGGGACACATCTGCTTGTTTCGGGCAGGGAGATTGATGGAATTGTCATCTGGAGGTATGAATTGGCCACAAACCAATGGTTCAAAGGTCCCTCCATGATTAGTCCAAGATGTTTGTTTGCTTCTACAACTTGTGGTACCTCTGCTTTTGTTGCTGGTGGTGTTGGTGCTGGTGCAAATAGCGAAGTCTATGACACAGCTGAAAAGTATAATCCTGAAACTGGATTCTGGGACCCTCTCCCGAGGATGAAAAGGAGAAGGAAGCTATGCTCAGGTTGCTTCATGGACAATAGATTCTACGTTATTGGAGGGCGAAATGAGAATGGAGAACTTACGTGTGGAGAATATTTTGACGAGAGCAAAAACAGATGGGAACTAATACCAGACATGTTTAAAGATGATCCAGTTCGTACATGCCACTCTCCACCTCTGGTTGCTGTTGTAAATAATGAGCTATACTCGCTGGAAGCTTCTTCCAACCAGCTGAAGGTGTATTTGAAAAAAACCAACACTTGGAAGCATTTGGGGCCGGTCCCAGTAAGAGCAGATTTCAACAGAGGATGGGGAGTTGCATTTAAATCCTTAGGAGACGAGCTGCTGGTAATAGGAGCATCATCATATTCATGTGCTGGGAACTGCATGTCCATATACACCTGCTGCCCAGATCCTGAAGCGAGTGAACAGCCATGGAAACCTCTTGATGGTGGTAGAAACCGGTTGAGTCACTTCATTCTAAATTGTTCCATTATGGTAGCATAGCATGAGGCTAAGCAGCTGAAGGGGCGTTTACATAATCTCCGTTGTTGCTAAATAAAAACTCAAAAAGTAAACTAAATAAATAAATAAGAAAAAGGAGACTTGGGTCTGTGTGCAATCATTACATGATTAAAATCCACTTGCTTCTTTGACTGCAGGGTAGTGGTTTGGTGTCTGTGTTTGTGAGTTCTAACCGAAAATGGTAGACCATTTCTCTGCCGCCGACTAATGAATGCTCAACTGACTTATAGTAATTGATATAGTAGTTGGAGGACGAAGTTAAAGTCTGTTGCTATGGTATCGTATCGGATGGCATTGTTGATTTTGATAGTTGGGCAGGTTGTTGTACTTGTTGATCTTGGAATCATTCTGTGTAAATAGGTAAAACTTTTTTGTGACGTGTTCTACCTTTCCTTTCACTACACATTCCTTTTTGTCTTGTTGAGATTTGATGAGATTATCAAATATCTGTTTCGGTGGTGGTCGTTTAGTTAGATGAAGCGAAAAAAAATATATCTATCTAGCACATGAACTAGCCTCCAATCCATGGTGTAGATCAGGCAATGTGTATGTACTATGTAGCATACATTATCAGCCAACTTTGCTTCGAGGATTTTGATGGTGTTATAGGGTTTTGAGTAGTTTAGTGGGAATTTCCCTGCCTTTCTAGGTACCGTGCCAAAGTTTGCTTTGTGAATTGATCATGATGTGCTAGACCTACTAGAGAGTACTTTGGTATGTTGTTGTGCTCGAAGCTTTTTTGCTCATGATTTGGTATTAGTACTCGTTGATTCTCTCCCTTTGCTTCTTTTTTTTTTTTTAGAAAAAAAAAAAAAAAAAAACTTTTCAATGGGCAGTTGAACAAGAATGGAGGACGCGGATTCTCGGTGGTGCTGCTGCTCATTCGTTGAATCACTAATGCTTAGTGTGGGAGTTTTGGGAAGAAATGGGAGGATTTGGGATATATGTAAATCAGTAAAATGTACTTCAATGTTCAGTAGAAGTATAAATTACGTGGGCATGCATTTTGAAAAATATTTTACCAACGTTCCTCCTGACTTTCCTTTGTTTTCAGTCAATGTGTCTTTCTAAACCCATCTGTTTTCTCTTCTTTTCCCTCTGTCACAAAAAACTCCCAAATGAAGTAACAAAAAACTCCCAAAACCATCTGTCTGTCTCTCATTTCTTTTCCTGTCAAATCTGTACTCTCAAACGAGTGGCAAGAAGTTGAGGGTTTGGGACAGGAATGGTTCCTGCAACCGTTTCAGAAGGTTGATGGTCAAGATTTGCCTATATATAATATATATATATATATAAGGTCCAGATGAAATTTCATCTTGTACATCGTTTTATATACAAGGAATAGTTACACGTCGTATAAAATGAGTTATATTGTGTGTAAATTGAGTTATTTCTAGTATATAATGCACAAAATCGGTCCGAACGGTTTCCACTGTTCTGTCCAAATCCGAAGTTAAGAGGCCATGTCGCTCGCAAAAAGCCAGTGCGGTAGTGAGTTGGAAAACAGAAATTACACCCCGTGTTACAGCCGTTCTTCAGTTGATTGGTGATTGAAATAGTTGGCTGCACCACCAGGCACAGGACAACAACAATTTCCTAATACTGCTACTACTGGAGTATTTGATTTGATCTGATCTTTGAGCTAACAAGTTGATTTGATCTGATCTTTTGGCAGTGAGTGTGAGACCCTCCTTTCCAGCAGAATTGAACCACACACACACACCCCTCCAAAACCCTTTTTCTCCCAAACCCAAAAAAAGAAAAAGAAAGATGTCCACTGTTAGAGCGTCAGTTGCTAAAAAACCCGAAACTGAGGCGTGATCTGGTTGGAAATCAGCTTTGATGGAAAAATACAAAAATGACTTTAAAAAACTTTTTAAAAAAATAAAATTTCAATTTTCATGTGTTGTGTTTTGTTGATAGCATAGAAAGAGCTCCACAATTTGTTACTTGTAAGGAAGAAAGTAATGGAGAAGGCACTCGGCCCAAATATAACGAATCCGAAGCCCAGATCAGCCGATAGATTAATATAATAAACCCAAAGCGACAAGCAATACCGAAAGGGGCCTGCTTCTAAGCCTTGTGGACTGGATCTAGAAGTGGTAAACAAATGAACTAGGCAATCAAAGAAACAAACAGTTATTTGAAGTTCTCATCGAGGCGTCAGACAGAGAGAGAGAGAGAGAAGATCAGACGGACGAGTCGAGTGAGTGAGTGGAGGTGGAGGCTCCTCTTTTGATGTGTTTAATGGAGTCGCAGCGGTAGCCGCGAAGAAAACGTCGCGAGAGGTTCTTCTTGGTCGGTCGGTTGGTTGGTTGCGGCTTTGTCATTCTTCTGAAACAGTTGCGAGGGGGAGGTTTCAAATTGTTGTAAGAAGTCACTTCTGTCCGGCCCTTTCCTCTTACTTCCCCTTTATTCCACACTCCTGTCTTTGCTTCTTCAGCTTATTATTGTTTTCTGTGCTTTTCCCCCAATTACTGCTTTTAACTCTCGTTTTCTGCACCCGTTTTATCCCAAATCTATTCTAATTTCAGTCCGCAACTTAGGGTTTTAGGGCTTCAGCTTTTTTTTTTTTTTTTTTATTTAGGTTTTGTAAGGACTGCCATTCCTGTGCTGTAATCCTTTCTTTTTTTTTTTTTTTTTGGGATCTCCACGACATCTTGTGAGTGGGAGCATGAACCGTAATTAGATTTGGCAATACTCAACTCTTCTTTTGTATGTATGTTTTTGTTATATTTGCTCAAGAATTCACCATGATTCGGATGTTTTATTCGAGTCCTTTTTAGGTTTTTTATTTTCTTTTGTTCAACGTAGCCTCTCTCTCTCTCTCTGGTGCCTATGTGAATGCGCCATTTTGATCGGGTTGGTACTCGTTTGTAGGTTGGTTTTAGTAGGTTTAGCTGTAAATCATGTCTATGAACAACAGTAATGCTCCTAAGAGTGTGGGGGTTCCATCCCCTTTTGGCAACTCTATGGCTGCTCATCTCCAGTCACAGTCCCATCCCCAGCAACAACTCCCTTCTTCCTTTCCCGCCCAATTCAATCTGTCCCAGCTTTCTGCTGCTCATGCCCAAGCCATTGCTCAAGCATCAAAGGCTCAGGCTCAGGCTCAGGCGCATGCCCAGTTCCAAGCCCATTTACAAGCTCAGGGTATATCCCTTAACCAGCCTCATCCCAGTGCGCTTGCCAATTTGGGTTCTGCATCACCTTCCATTTCGGGCTCTGGTAACCCCAATGCCAAAAGGCTCCCGCAGAAACCACCTGTACGCCCACCTGGCTTGTCCACCACCAACGCTCCTTCTCCAATGAGAACGATGGAGCTTTCTGCTGCTGCTCGGAGGAAAAAGCAAAAGCTCCCCGAGAAGCAATTGCATGAAAGAGTTGCAGCTATTTTGCCTGAATCTTCCCTGTACACCCAGCTCCTGGAGTTTGAGTCTCGTGTTGATGCTGCACTCTCGAGAAAGAAAATTGACATCCAAGAGGCCGTTAAGAATCCCCCTTGTATTCAGAAAACCCTCCGCATTTATGTATTTAACACCTTCGCTAATCAGATCCGTACAATTCCCAAGAAGCCCAATGCCGAACCACCTACCTGGACACTGAAGATAATTGGGAGGATTCTGGAGGAGGGGATGGACCCAGAACAGGCTGCCATGTTTCAGAAAACGAGTTCCATGTACCCAAAATTCTCTTCATTCTTCAAGAGAGTCACCATATCTTTGGACCAGAAATTGTATCCCGATAACCATATGATTATATGGGATAATGCTCGATCCTCAGCACCTCATGAGGGATTCGAGGTAAAAAGGAAAGGGGATCAAGAATTTACTGTCAATGTACGGTTGGAGATGAATTACATGCCTGAGAAATTTAAGCTTTCAGCTGCTCTGATGGACGTACTTGGGATTGAGGTTGATACTCGTGCAAGAATTATATCTGCTATATGGCATTATGTAAAGGCTAGAAAGTTGCAATGCCAGGATGATCCTTCTTATTTCAATTGTGATCCTCCGCTCCATAAAGTGTTTGGTGAGGGAAAGGTGAAGTTTACTGCTGTGACGCAGAAGATATGCCCTCATTTGGCTCCACCACAGCCTATACATTTGGAGCACAGGATAAAACTTTCTGGCAATAGCCCGGCTGGAACTGCATGTTATGATGTATTAGTTGATGTGCCCTTCCCTATACAGAGAGAATTGAATGCCTTGCTAGCCAACACAGAAAAAACCAAAGAGATTGATGCCTGTGATGAAGCAATTTGTACTGCCATCAGGAAGATACATGAGCACCGAAAACGAAGAGCATTTTTTCTTGGTTTCAGTCAGTCACCGGTCGAATTCATTAATGCCTTAATTGATTCCCAAAACAAGGATCTGAAGCTTGTTGTAGGGGAAGGTGGCCGTAGTGCTGAGAAGGAGCGCCGGTCTGACTTCTACAACCAGCCATGGTATGTTTCTTCTTTGGTTGCATCTCTTTTATTTGTCTTCAACTTGTAATTTGAAGTGCTAACTTCTTGCTGTATGAAAATAGAATGGTCAAGTGCTTGTGAAGTATGCACTCTTCTTGTAGGATTACTTTTTACATATATCTGCTTACTTTGATACTGCAAACATTGTAGAGGTTGTCATTTGGTTGATTTGGTTCTCAGAATATTCTAACCAAAACATCGTTAGATGAAGTACTTGTTCATTCTTCTATGTTCACGAAAGAGCTCAATTTTCTTGTGTTAAACTACTAAATTTATTTGAGGGCCTTTTATCCCCCTCCTGCATGCTGTTGGAGTTCTATAGTGGTGCATAAAAGTTTGAGATACGCATGCACTTCTTCCCCATTTGGCTTGGTTAATAGTCACAAATTAACTATGTCATGAACAGGGTTGAAGATGCTGTTATTCGATACTTGAACCGGAAACCACCCGCAGATGCCCTGGAAGCACTTGAATAACGAGGGAAAGATAACCCGCAGTTGCTGCAATTTGAGTGCATTTCACTTTCTGACGGTTTGACTGAAAATGTCATATTATTTTGAGAAGTGCTGGGCCGTAGTTGCTCTTTCCATGTTCCGGCAGGAGGGAAAGATGCATTCTGGTAGAAGAAAAGATTAGGATTTGTGGGCTGTTTCAAGCAATTTACTCGGTCTTGCTGTTTATGCTGGTTATAAAGCAAGGCGAAGCAGTTTAAAGGGCCTCTCGTGCTGTAATGTATTTCTGTAGTTAGTTCATTTATGGAAGCCTAGGACCATAGATCAAGTAGCAGGCGCTTTCAATGCTGACATTGTTAAAAATTCATGTATTTCATAACCAATCTCAGTTTCTGGCATCATATACTGGGGGACTCGGACCTTTGCATGGAAAAAGGGAAAATTAGAAGAGAAATATAATATTGTGTAATATATGATAGTTTCTTCATATTCCTTGCGTTTGAATTTTTTATTCTTTTTAAATATATTTTCTTGTAGAAAGTGAAGATGTT